GAATCGTGCAAGGAGACAAGCCAGAAATAGCTCCCTGGCTCCTTGCCTCTCCTGCGATTCAGGGACGCGCGATGGAAACTAAATCAAGTTGCCAAAGCTTTCAGCTGCTCCACAATACTTTCCACCAACCTGGGCATCTCTCAGGAGCACCTGCAGAGCAGCCAGCTTCACACTCAAGTAAGACAGGCAGCCAGCACCCCACATGTCTGTGTCCTCACACCAAAGTACCTGTGCCTGGTATCCTCGCATGCCGGGGTGTCCCCGCAGCCTGACATAGAGCCAGGGTAAGGCCTCTGAAACAGACTGCACCCTGCAGATGTCCTGTGGCTGTGAAGACACCTAAGAAATCCACAGAGGTGGACACCAGACTTCTCCTGGTCCTCCACACCACCATCTCCTCCCTCATTTACTCCATTTTCCTGAGAGCATTTTTCCAAAGGGACCTAAGAAAGTCAGCTCAGTGCAAGAGCTGAGCACCCAGCCACCTCTCCTCTAAGGCCACCCCAAAATTCTTCAGCTTAGCAACAATTTGCTCTCTACCCTTTCCAAACACTCCAGATCAGAGGTGTGTAGGCAATATAGGCAGAAAAACATCTTGAAGGTAATCAAACATGATGAGGGTGATGGCAGCTGCTTAGCAGACTGTGGCTCAGCAGTGACAACAGAAAAGGATGCTCAAACCTCCAAGCTCTACCTTTCTTCTAGAAAAGGAAATTTCTCCTACTGTGGTCAGTTTCCTCAAGCTGAGGAGAGGCAGGAAGCAGGGGCCTGTCCCAGACAGACTCCCAGCATGGGATATATCCACTCACAAAGGGATGTAGGCTGTATTCCCCACCATTTCTCATCCTCATGTCTCCATCATGCTCCTGTAAGAGCCCGTTCCCAGTTACGCGTCAGCCAGGACTTCTGGGTTGGAAGCTGAAGACCAGAGGAGGCAAACACAAGGTGGAGCAGTGGGAACAGCCTCTTTAGGGATGCAGTGGGGATATCTTGGAAGAAGACAACACAGTCAAAGACAAGAAGCCAACCTATGTTATGATGATGAAAGAAGAGGTCCCCAGAGCTGGTGTGGCCTTTGGTTCCTCAACTTTCCCCTGACTTCAGCAGTCAAAAGCATAGTCCTGCGAAATTTGCTGAGACTGCTTGGTTAAGATCCCCTCCATCTACATGAGAGGGCAGTTCCTCTTCAGCTCTGTTTGCTGACACCATCAGCCAAGAGCTGGTCCCAGCAGCTGGATGTTTAAACAAATCCACCCTAAAACGAAACCTGCTGTGTCGTTTCAATGAGTCTGGGAGGAGTGCTTGCCCTGCCACCCAAGCTGGGCTGTGTCTGGATGGGTGTTCTCATGGTTGTTTCTGCCCATTCACAACTTGCTGAATTGCCTTTCCAGGGGGACATTTTAAAGGAGAAGGAGATTTCAAGTAAATGATTGCAACTTATCGAAAATAATGTGCTACTTAGCATCGGAGACAAGCATCCTGGCAGGCAGAAATGGGAAGCGGTGCTGGAGCA